TATGAGGATGAGGACCAACAGAAGAAAAAGAAAACAAAGTATAAAAAGAAGAAGAAGAAGAAGAAGCAAGGTTTTCTACCCCGAAACCCAGCAAGCAAGCAAGCAAGCAAGCAAGCAAGCAATTCTCTTTCTTCATGAGAGAGAAAGAGAAATCTGCTCTAACGCACACGCCTTGCGAGCGACGGCCGACACGAGTTTACTTTTATTTAAACGTTCCTTCCTTTTATTTAGGGCCTGACCCCCGAGAGACACTCATTTTGCTCCTTTCCTGCCCCGGCGCTGACCGGTGTCCACCCGTTCCCGGTCCCTTGAATTAATAGCCCCGCGTTTTTCCTCGTGTTGGCTAATATACGCGCGTGCGCGCGAGCGCACTCTTCTAAAGAGAGAGAATGAGAGAGAGAGAGAGAGAGAGAGAGAGAGAAAGAGAGAACGAACGAGCCCAGGACCCTGTGCGCGTTAAAAAATGCTTCGCTTCTGCCCGCCGTTTTCTCACGGCAAACACCGAAACGCACCGACAGCGTGCTTTATTGCCATCCCACAACCCCATCTTCTCTTTTCTCTTTCTCTCTCTCTCTCTCTCTCTCTTTATCTCACACTATGTACGTTTTTACACCATCATAAGAGAAAATTTTAATGTTGGTAACTATTAATATTTAACATTTTACTTTTAAGTCTTGCAATTTTATTTGATTGTTTATTTTGAAAATTTTCTATAAGTTCGTTTCAAATAAGAAAACACATACATGCATAATTTTAATAAAATTATTTAAATATCAAAATTATGACAATAAGTTGTTCGTTTTTCTATATACATAGATAAAAATAAATTTATCTGTAAAGAAAACTTTTCTATATAGAAATGTATGTTCATATAAATAAAATATAAATCGTAGAAATATTTGTATTTAACAATTTTTCACGAGATTTCTTGATTAACGATTTAAATAATTAAATTTGTAGATAAAATAATTATTCTGGTTGAAATGTGCCTATTACGTCTTAACATGTAATCAAATGATTTCAAATGTTAACTCGGACTACAATCTTACCTGCGATTTACATAATATCAACGATTAAATAGAAAATATTTTTAATTAATTTTAATCGTATACATCCCTATGTAATTATGTTAAGAATATAGTGTATAATACTTTGTTTTATATGTCTATACGTTAATGATCTTTTACAAAAACGAATGATTATCAAGTCAAATAATTAATTAAGATAACTACAAAATAATAATACTGATCTCTGTTTAATTCAATGATTTCTAAGCCATTTACTAAACATTTATTTTCCTTGTATCGTATACATGTATTTAATTAACTAATGATTTTCATAATTAACAAAATTCTCGAAGAAAAACAAAAACTGTTAATATTAATTTGAAATTTTGTTGAAGAATTTAAAAAATAATTAAGATTACTTAAAAAAAACAATAATAATAAGTCTAATAAGCCAATTGATTATCTATAAAGATTACTAATTAAAAATATACGTTATTTCTAGCATAACGCATACTTTTGACTTATGCAATAAGTAAATCAAATTATTCTATAAACGTAATGTTTCATCTATTTCTTATTTCATTTCTTTCTTTGGTCCACGTTAACAGATATTTTGCTACTCTCTTTTTCTTTCTCTTCATGAATCTTCTCTTCGACGTTCATTAACATATTCGTTGATTTATATACCGTAGCGGTAAGTAGATTAAGATAAGGTGATAAATAGTTTAAGTGGCCCGTCGGCGCGATACTTCACAACACGGATTTATAAACGCATATATGGGGAAGGTGGTAAGACTCGAGTTAAATCCACTTGAAATGTTACGTTGAGTTACCTCAACACAACAAACAAGGAGGAGCCAGTTTGTGCATGGATCTTGTTAGATCGTGAAAAAGATTGATATCTACAAAAAGAAAAAAGAAATGAAAATATTATAATAATAATAATAGATTGGAATAATAAATTTGGTTCTAATAAATATAAAAGGGATTACAAATGATATTCATATTTAACTGATCGATCGTGTCATTTAATAAATTCACGATAAAATGAGTGATAATGTGAGTAACGATTGCGATAATTATTATCGTCACGGAAACAACTAATTAAAACTGGTTTTCCGTTGAATGATAGTTTAACATTTGATTATGTAAAATTATTTTTCTACTACAACACCGATAGACACGTTTCTCGTCCTTAACGATCAAACCGAGATCCACCGTTGATTTGCCGATTTCAAGAATCGATTATACCAAACATTTACCGGCGATTACAAGTGAACGTATTAATGCGTCACGCCACGCTAACTCATGGAGTAATATACAAGATAAGAATTTATCGTACCACTTAGAACTTATCAATTGTAAGTGAAATTTAATGTTAAACCGATAAAACGAGGCCCGACGCGCCTTTAAAGATGCCGTGCATTTCCGAATAACGAAGTATCACTATCCTTCCCTTCCTTTCTTCTTCCTCTTCTTCTTCTTCTACTTCTTCTTCTTCTTCTTCTTCTTCTTCTTCTTCCTTTTTTTTTTTATTTTTTTTATTTTCTTTTACCAAAGGTAAAAGAGTCGGCCCTTTCGTAAGAGTCATAAAACGAGAAAAAATATTGATAACGAAATTGGACCGATCACATATTTTCTCATATTTTGTACTAAATTTCAATTCGTACGATTTGGTATAACATTAATAATAAAAAGACATTTCATAAAATCGTATCATTCTCGATAAGATCGAAATCGAATTATAAAACTGTGTAAGCGATAAATAATACAAAAAAAAAAAAAACTAAAAAAATAAAAAAACGAGAGAAAATAAAAATCCATGTAAGTGCATTGCCACCAAGGTCGTGAAGAAAGTTTTCGAAATAGATGTTGCGAGGGGACTTAATATATATATATATGAAAAGAAGAAGAAGAAGAAGAGGAAACGAAAAAAAAAAGGGGAAAAAAAGGAAAAATCTTGAGATACAAGGAGATAAGGAGAGAACGAGATGAGAGGAAAGAAAAGGACAAGTAAAAAAGACGCGAGGACAGGAGTAAAAGGCGAAACGGTACTCGACACCCTGTGGTGTACGGATGGGTGCATCAGAGGCTAGAAACACGCCTGACCTCCCAGCAGACAGATTAAAATGATGCAGAGGCTATCTACCCCTCCTAAAACTCTTCTTCCTCCTCTTCCACCTCCTCCTCCTCCTCCTCCTCCTCCTCCTCCTCCTCCTCNCTCCTCCTCCTCCTCCTCCTCCTTCTTCTTCTTCTTCCTCGCTCTGCCTAAACTATTTCAAGACTCTCTGAGTGAAACATCTTCTCGCCTCGCTTTTCTACCGTGTTTGTAAACACACGATACTTGCCATTACGAGGCTAACATTTACTTCAGAAATTTGCCCGTGCATGATAACGAATGTATCATCATCGTCGTCGTCGTAGTAGTCGAGTTCGAAATATATAAGAAAGAAAGAAAGAAAGAAAGAATGAAAGAAAAGATAAACAAAAAATAAAATAAAATAAACAAAAAGTAATATACAACGAAGTTTTAGCTTCCCAAAGTTGGTTGATATTTTTGGACGCACCTGTCTGTGATCTTTGGGATCATCAATGTCTCCTGCTGTGAAATCGATAAAGTACATTATGTGAGTTAATATTAAGTCATTGGATAGGTGCAATGTGTCATAAGCAAGGTGAGTACTCGTCTAACGAGATTCCACGATCTTTGTGCACCTCTGAATACTGATAGGGATGATGATGTTGATGATGATGATCAAGTTACGAGTATTGGGAATATTGTATCTTGAATTTAAAAGATATCTATATTCGTTCGTATATCGAAAATATAAAATTTTGACAATAAAGGAATATTATATGTAATTGTAAGTTTTTTTTTTTTATCTATCTTAAATGTTCTCATTGAATTAAGTAGTCTTAAAAGTTTCTTTATTTTACTGCTATTATGAAATATAGAAAAAATTAAGCAACCGATAATTGGTTATTTATTATTTAAATAAAATATATTACTCATGTCAGACTTATTTTGAAAAAAAAAAAAAAACCAAAAATCTTTCAAGACTACCAAACATATGAATTACAATTAAGAAGATATTTGACATTAAATTATAATCAAATAAGAGTTATATTGTATTTTATCGTGTGTTTACAAAATACTTAAATGATTTAGCCCGAAGAATTTTAAAATCTTACGAGACACTTTAACGTTGACGCCTTTAGGCGTTATAACGCTGTTCCTAATCTTTATAACGACGCTTTGTTTAAAGCATTCAAGCTTGTACTCTTAACGCGATACACGTTCCCCACGCGATACACTTTTGAATAATGATACCTGCCCATAACGATCACTTGACATCTAAATTCCCAGCACGATTCGATTCCTTTCACTCGTTAGCGTTAATCTGACATGCTGGAAATACCGTTCTAGTTTGTAAAATATACTCTAATATATCTACAGATATATGATCTTTCGAACATATCAAATGATTTTTTTCATCGAATAGCTTTAATGCTATAAGTACGATTATTACTCAAAATTGCGAAAGATTGATAGAACTCTTAGATCGTTTAACGTTTCTTATAATTTACTCGATAATTTTATTTTCTAATTTTCTCAAGCGACAATAAAAAAATATCATACACACATTTAACTCAACTCCTAAGCAAAACGTAAATCGTTTCAAACATATCAGCAATAAATAATAATTTAAAGAACTGCTGAGAATAAGAAAAATCTTGTATACGTGTGTGTGTAATTTAAATGATCTAACTCCAATATATTTAACAACTCTTATAATAATTTTCAAATGATTCCTTAAAAAAATAATCTAAACATTCGACTATACAATCTATAACTTCATCAAACTAATAATCGTATTCCTATTTTTCTTATAACAAATCTAACGTAAACCTAATTCTTAGATCTAACATAACAGATATTTTAACTGGAAAGAAAAAATATAATCATTATTATAAAAATGTTATAATACTTACCCTGTCGTATTGATGCGTCGCCGTGGCGGAGGAAAATGGTTGAAAAGGTGCCGGCCTGGCCGGACTGTGATGGGCCGCATGAGGATTTGCATGCGGGGCCGCATGGGGGTGGGTCGGGTGCGGCGGCGGTGGTGCCCTCGAATAGAGGTAAGGATGATAATATTGATACATCACCTCGGAGCAGCTCATCACCCCGCCCGGGCTTGGCACCCCAGACCCGGCCTGCCGACTTGCGTACCCGAACGTCGCACCACCCGTTCTAATACCACCACCACTTGGCTCCTCCACTCTTTTTCTCTCTCTCTCTCTCTCTCTCTTTCTCTCTTGATCACCTTCCTCTTCTTTTCTTCTTGTTTCTTTTCTTTTTGTTTTTTGTTTCTACTTCTTCTACCTTGCTTTATTTTCCTTTTTGTTTTACATCAAGTAAAAGTTTTAATCCAACAACCAGTAACAACCACGTGCATCAGGTAACTTTAATTAGTTACCTAACCAAACGTTCGTATTATAATTTATTAGCAATTAACAACGTGAACAATTAGTTTGGACAATGTAGAGTTATGCACTTCTCAACGTGATGACAATTATCGTCCGTCGGCGAACAAACGTTTTGACAGTCTCGAACTTTCACTCAAGACACTGCTATCGGAAACGCAACAGTTGGTATATATGGTACATCGTTGTAATTGCTTATTTCGTTTAATGACAACATTGAAAGGATCTTCGGACAAATGTAAAAGCTGTCATGTCGACTACTAATCAAATAGCCAAGCAACAAATGAAACAAATTTTTGCTGACTTATCAAGGTTCTCGTTAAAGCGCGGGAAGATGGATCCTCCAATCTGACGTTTTTGACAGATAAGAGGAAGGAAAGTAAAAGAATATGATAGATCCACACACGTTTTAGACTTTTTTCATCCTTGTGTCAGAGGATCCTATTACGAATGATCGATCAACATCGATCTCTTCTTTCTATTCTTCTTTTTAAAAACTGAGAAAGAAACACGAAACTGTGTCTTGCCGTGTCTGACACTTCTGACAAGCTGGCACCTTCAAATCGTTTTAAAAGACCTCGAAAACGATCACGTATACTCCGAGCATTATCACTCTCACTTCTCACGTTCGTGCGTATCGCACGTTTGATCGTTTCCCGTTATCGAGTAAGAAAAGAGATAGATTAAGATTATACCAAATAACACGAACGAACGAACGTACGAATTAACGAACGAACGAACGAATGAAGCACGAAACACAGGATCGCGAGATTTGCACGAGTTCAACGAATAGAGATAGAGAAAGAGATAGAGAGAACGGAACGGTTGTCTCCAGATTGCACCGCTGGTGTGTCTCTGATGGGCGAACACAGACTGAACCCCCCGAACCGATCGTTGGGCACCCTCTCCCTCGTCCCCTAGACTCGTCCGCCGTCTTTTTCCAACTCCATGGTCAGGTTCCTCTCTCTCTTTCTCTTTCTCTTCCTCACATCTCCCTTCTCCCTGTTCAAACTCTTTCTCTCTCTCTCTCTCTTTTTCGTGGCCGTGCGTGGCACGTACTCTCCACTCCTTCTGCTTGCTGGAGGGTCGGAAAGGTCTCTTTTCCCTTTCCCTTCCCTTTTTCGATCAGCCCCTTTTTAGAGAAAGAAGGGGTTACGGGCAAAAGGAAACGCCTACTGGCAGTACCAAGCTCGGCCAATCAACGAGCGAGAATCAGTCGTCCAATGAGGCGTCAGTTGCCACTCCTACGTACCCGTCGTCTCTGTATTGATCCCACAATGAACCCGGACTATACCCAGCACGGTATTAAGAAGTTCCTACTCGGGTTGAATCCTCCTCCTCATACCCTTCGATACCCACACTTTAACCCCGTCTCTCTCTCTCTCTCTCTCTCTTTCTATTTGCTTCTGATTCGCTTTCTTCTTCTATCTTTTCATACCCAACAACTTTGCCTACCACCCTTCTCGTTTCGTTCAGCTTTAACCATGCTTCGAGTTGCCTTTTCCCAACAACCCCGAACCTTATCCACCTTCTCTTTCCCTACCACCCCTTCAACTCCTTTATCTCTCTCTCTCTTTCTCTCTCTATTTCTCTTTACTCTCCAACGCTAGCAGCGAACTCGGCAAGCCGCGCGCATAATGAGTCTTAATTAACAGTTTCGCGGTGTTTCGGGAAGCTTAATTTGCTTCGCCAAGAGAGAGCGAGAGAGAGAGAGAGAGAGAGAGAGAGAAAGTAGTGAAGGTTGCCTTGGTAGGGAGGAAACATGGTAAAAGAGATAGAGGATGAGAGCAAAAGAGGGTAGGAAACTCCGACGAAGTCAAGCTGGTTAGGAATTTTCTTAAACTCCTTAGAAAATCAGGTTTTTCCTGTTGAGAAAATTGGTACGTGACTATGAATCTTCTGCCAAGCGAAAAGTATCCCGACACCTTCGACTGACAATTCATTTAAGAAGAAATGGGTCAAGCCACAAGTTGCACCTTACACCCTATCGTATTTCGATGCGCATGATTTAATTTTTTTTTTTTGAAGTTTGAAGTTTGATCACAATTGGGAAATTAAATGATATATGTAATTATATCGGTCAACTTTATTTCAGTGAATTTTTATTAAATAATTATTTCATTTTAAACGAGATAAAATTAAGTATAATTATATACATTACACGAAACTACTATTCCGTAATAATTATTCCCCCTTACTTCGTAAGTGTATACTCATTATTTAATTACATTATTACATATTTTCATATTCTTACTTTCTCCATAAATATAAATCGTCGTGCAGCATTAACATAAATTAATTCAAAGTGTTATAATTATTGAAACAAACAATGTTTTCTATTCATAAACGAATCAAAAGATATTCTATTACTATTGTCAACCTACGTAATTTATAATCTAGTCCAGTTTGCTTGAAACGAATAATCCTAAATGTTGCGTTGTACGTACCATCATCGTCGTCGTATCGGTGACACAACACTTGACCGTGGCAAATTGTAGAAGACCGTGGCTAATCCAACGTGTAATCTAGCTGGTCTTTATCATCAGGGAGTGTCGGACAAATCCAATAAACCGTCGAGGAGCGTGAAACGGGGTAAAAGAGTTTTTATGCAAGTCGACCTTTGCTCTACTCAATACGTTCATGCTAACGTCGGATCACCGATCAAACGTTTCAGAGCGGGGTGGCGCAGTCATCCTGCACGTGGCCACTTCAACAATGGAGGAAGCGCAACTCACCCCTAAAACTCCTGCTGCTAATAGTCGAGCATTAAATTTGTCAGTGATATTGCCAAGTAGGGTGTGGACCTTAGCGTTCTCTTTTTCTCCCTTATTCGCATCCCCCATCCCCATCATCATCTAGTAGGGATACTAGACGCACGAAATATGCTTTCATTCTCGCATTTCATGCTACGATACATATGAGTGTAGGCGAATAAACGATTGGAATATCAAAAGAGAAAGACTCGCAACTTGATTTATCGATGATGCTTCGTGGCTTTCATTGTATAATCGATTTGTATGTTATTTTATATATATATATATTTATACTGCATGATATAAAAATAATCATCTTATACAATATAATATATATAATAAATATGTCGTAGTTTTTTACATACCTCAGAAATGTTTCATAATTATAGCAATTTTAAATATCGCAAATTACACGATTAGCTCATTAAAATTAACGAACACGCAATTAGACGCCTCAGGAGGTCTAATTACTTGTTATAAGAAATGATTATATAACGAGTATTCTCTTCTTCATTTTCCTTTGTAATTAAATTCTATGAATCGATCGATTAACAATCACTCTTACCGCAGTAATTTACCTTCCTAACCAGAATTGCTTGTTTCTCATAAACGAGAGAAAACACAGGTCCTTCCAACATTCGAATGCTCTGACTGAGAAAGAGAAAAAAGAAAGGGGGGAAAAAGAAGAAGGCAGTGGCGGCGACCGAAGAATCGCGTTTTTTGACAGATCGGCAACAGCCTCTTAGGAGAGAAGTCCCACGAACGGGGCACAACATAAGGATCGCCAGGAATGCCAAAATAGCAAATTAGGGAATTCCAGGAGATCTACCTTCCTCTCCTTTCTCTCTTTCTCTCTTTCGTTCTGTTTTTTCTTCTCTTCCAAATCCTCCTTCACGACTACTGTTACCTTCACTGCTAACACATATTGTTTTATCATTTTGTTAACTCAGATTAATTTAACAATCAATCATGTAAACTTTAATTCAATAGAAATTCTAACATCATTATCTCGTAATGGTAAATAAATATAAATAGCAGCGATAATATTAGATGATTTTTATTATTAACATTATCTAAAGATAAATAATTATCTTACAATTGTAATAAAATTAATGCAATAGATTTATATGTATATATATATAAATATGTGTGTGTGTGTGTGTGTTGTGTCTATGGGGATTTGTTGGCCGATTAACCTACAACTTTTTTTCTATGACCCAACCGAAAATACGAAAGAAAAAAAAAAAAATACTGAAAAAAAATCCAAAAAGAAAGGGGAATGCGCTTTCTCGTCTCGAACGCTCGAGTCGAACCTAGGTCAGTCACTTCGGCTTGTTCCGTATGATCTCTTCTCGTATGCCGAAGCACGCCAAACGCGTTTCGATCAAATTGCATCGCGTAATCCGAAGAACGTCAGTAATGTAACGCTTTACATTATCCCTCGACGTTTTATGGAGTGCGCGGGACAAAAGTGAACTGGACGAGGAAGAGGGGTTGGGAAGGGGAGGGGAGGAGAGGGAGAAGAGAAAAGGATTGTTCACTTTTACACTCGCGGTATTAACAAATGCTTTATAAATCGCTAACAAAAAAGGTTTACTACGATAAAGAAATATCGTTGGTATTTCCGTAAAGGAATGGCTTTACTTACTTTGTTAAATACTAAATATAAGACAGGCTGCTCTCTATTTAATATTTATATTATCGTATATAAATCGAACATTATACTCGATTTGCAATGATAATATATTTTGTACTTGCAATTGCGTCGGCTATTGATACAGCAACGATGGAAGATTTAAGAAATAATATGACTCGACAAATTTTTATTTATCGTTTTTTCTTCTTCTTGTTTTTTTTTTTTTTTTGTTTCTTTTAATTCGCAATCGCTAACAATTTGCTTAACGAGTTAAATGGGTTTACTCAGAGTAATAATATAGCACGACGACTTGGTGGATATGGTAAAATGATCAAAATTACAATAAGCAATTTGAAACGTATAAGAAATACTTATCGTACGGATTTTCAGACCAATAAAAAAAAGTAAAGAAAAATAAAAATCAAATTTATTTCCCCAGTATCTTTCTCGTCGACGATTCCAATCCTTGTCTAAAAAATCATTAACAGAACAAAATCGTTGCAATTTTATTTAACATTCCTATATTGTTTATACACCGCTTCTCTATAATCTGAAAGGTTTGCTCCGATTTCTTTGTCTTCCTCAATATTTCCCCTCCACCTTCTTCTTCTTCATCATCATCGTCCTTTACTCCAACTTAGCTTCCACCTTCGCAGCCGCCTCGTTCTTCTCTTTCTTTTCATCTTCTCGCTCCAAAAACTTGTCCCATTTGTCTAATCGCGCCTCGATCTCAGCATCCGTTTCGTTAATTCTGAGATCAGATCGTAGAATTTGCAAATATAATTCGAACGATTTACAAAGAGAAAAAAAAACAAAAAACATATTATTGCTTCGGGATATTTGCGTGACTTGCGTCTAAATGAGAATAAAGCATTGGAAATATCGTCATGGAAAATTACAAAATAGTTAAAAACAAACGATACTTGTTCCTGTAATTGTATGCGATTTAAAATGCACTTTTTAAATCTTTAAAATTTGTTAGTAATTTAATTTAAAAATAAAATGTAATTATTTAAAGTTTTTTAGCTCAGTAGATAACTTGCCGATTGTTGATAAGGTAGATTGTTAAGATATATATACTATCTCCAATAGATAAGGTAAAAATCTACGTTTCCAATTATCATTAATAAATATACCTGCAGTCGATAAGAAAGAAATTGACATTCGATAAACTTACTTGTATTTTGTTTTTCCATCCCAAATTTCGGCAGATATTTTTCTTTGACTAAACCAACGTCCATTTAACAACTGAACGCAAGCTTGAGCCTCAGCAGGCTCACGAAAGGTTACCTGAGCAACGCCTTCAGGATGTCGCTGCAAATACACATCAATAATTTTTAATTAATTGCAAAATACTTCTATCGATTAGTATTGAATATACATTTTACAATTAATATTTTAACATAAAAAAAAAAAATTATCTTTGAGTTATGCGTCTAAAGGGAAGCGCGCGAGAAGAATGTGAGATGAATATTTGAAATACTTTTCTAAAAAAAAAAAAAATAAAATAGAAAAAGAGAAGAAAACATTCTATTCACTTAATAAACGAAATAGTTTAATTGAAAACTAAAGTTATAATAGAGCGAACATCAATTACACAATTAATATCCTAACTTTTGTTATTAGAAAATTGTCACTAACGTGATATATTGCAATTTAAATTTATAATAGTTCAAAGATTGAAAACCAAGGATAATTTTTAACTTTTTCTACTACTTTTCTCTATCTCAAAGAGAACAAATGATATTTCTAAATAATTTCGATGATTTTATCAAGTCTATATTCAACGAAACTATTTCAAATTAAAAAAAAGAACCTGTTTATGTCAATTGCTAAAGTCCGCGAAAGAGAAGAAGTTTTACCTAAATATTTACTCAAAATAAATTAAACGACGATTCAATAAAAAAAAAAAAAAAAA